GCATGTGAGCAGAGGATAAGCCACATCGGCTCCATGAAGCTCTGGTAACAGCCTGGTCCCTCCCTTGGGAACCTCTCGGACCCTTTGAATGGCAAACTGGTTCTGGTCCCATAAGTCTCTTGGCCATGCTGGGGAGAGGGCATCCCAAGGAAAAGCAGTCACACTCTTGTTTGGTGAAAGACCAATGGGGTCAGGCAGGGTTCCCCCACTGACTGAAGTAGGGACGTCCTGATTGTTTGCTCTTTGTGAGCCCAACTCCTGGAGGAGAAGAAGCAGGTAAGGCACATCCCAGGAGGCTGCGCGAAGACGAGAGGAAAGGCTTCAGCACTGCAACTCCTGCCCTTAGCCTTCAGTGTTTGGTGTTTTCTAGGAACTCTTCTTGCTGCCTGGCTGCGGTTTCTCTTCCCTGGGTTTCAACCTTTCCCCTGTTTCTATTGTCTTTCAGGGTCTCTGTCTATTCTGCCCACACTGGGGCCCCCCTCACCCCCCTCGTCCCCATCTCTGCTGCAGCCTTCTGCTACTGTTGCACCAAGTCCAGAACAGGGCACGTCCTTGTATCTAAACCCAGAAAGGGAATGTGGCATTTTCACCAACTGTGCTTTCCTTTGACAGTCCCTCATTTGCGTGAAGGACTGCCTTGGTTGCCCCATAACAGCTTCCTTTTTACCACCAGGGGGCGCTCTAAGCACTCGGGAGATTGAGCAGACCCAGCATGGCTGTGGAGGCTTGTCTGCTGGTGGGTCCTCAGAGGCAGGAGTGTGCAGAACAGAGCCTGGGGCTGTGCAGTGGTGGTAGTGCAAGGGACCTGGGCCAATAATGCTAACCTTGGTGATCCACAGAACCCATCACAAAGTTGGGAAATGGTAAAAGACTGAAAATACTCCCAGGGTCTAGCAAGGGGCTGTGTGCGAGTCATGTGAATGAGCCATGGACATAGACTTTAAGTTCCATTAAAAGACACATAAAATAGACAATCTGAACCAATAAATGCAAAGATAACTGCATAGCTGACTTTGTCATCCAGCTCTACCCTCGCTGTCCAAAACGAAACTGTCTCTCCAGTTGCAAGAACCAACACGAAATACCTGTCTATGGAAGAAGCCATGTGTAGGCAGACTTTTCTCTCCCACCAGCCACTTCCCAAATAACCACAATGAGACTTATTACTTATAGCCCAGGTTTGTTACTAGCTAGTAACTCTGAAATTTTAAATCAACCCATATTTCTTATCTACGCTCTGCCATGTTGCTTGTCACCTTTCCCCGGTCCAGCAAGCCCTTCTCCTACTTCCGCTGCATCTCCTCCTCATGGCTTCTGAGACTCCTCCTCCTCTTCATGGTCTCTTTATGTCTGCCTGCCCCACCTAACCTCTGCCTGTTCAGCTATTGGCCAGTCAGCTTTTTTATTAAGCCAATCATATTGATGTATATTTACACAATATAAAGAAATATTCCACATTTCCCCCTTTTGTTTAATTAAAAAGTAAGGTTTTTAACTTTAACACACCAAAACTATATATTAAAAAACAAGTAATGTAATATTACACCCTTCTGGGGTCTCTGATGGAGTTAAAAACTAAACAGACTTAAGGTTTTCCTTAGTTATAAGTTAAGGTAAATTAGGTATAAAACTTTAGACTTACAAAGATAGATAATAGAGTATTTTCTCTGTTTTTGCCAAAACTTGATAACTGCTTTTGTTGTATATAATTTTACTATTTTAAAGTTAAAACCTTTCTTTTTAATTAGACAAAAATGGGGAAATGGCTGTGGAATAATCCTTTTGTACACTGTGAAAATGTGTTGCTCTTATTGTTAATAAAGAGCTAACTGGTCAACAACTAGGCAGGAAGAGGTCAGGTGGGAGAGAAAAACTGAGGATGCTGGGAGGAAGGTGGAGTCACGAGGAGAGAGAGCAGAATGGGAGGTAGGTACTTGAGATGAACAAGCCTCAGGGCAGCACACAGGTTAATAGAAATGGGTTAATTTAAGTTATAAGAGCTGGCTGAAAAGGAGCCTACGCTATCGGCTTAGCACTTACAGTTAATAATAAGTCTCTGTGTTATTTGGGGACAGGCTGGCGCGTTGCCAGAATCTGTAGCTCTGGTCTCAGAACACAGATTCTGGTGACCTGGAGTGACCCATTGCCCTGGCTGGACGATACAACTAGTGTCATCTGAAGGGAGAGAGCCTCAATTGAGAAAATGCCTCCATAAGATCCTGCTGTAAGGCATTTTCTTAACTAGTGATTGATAAGTGAGGGCCCAGCCCATTGTGGATGGTGCTACTCCTGGACTGGTTGGTGTGGGAGGCCCTTCTGTATATGTGTTGCTTTTATTTGTTAATGAATAAAGCCAGTAACAACTAATAGTCCTGGGTCCTATAAGAACGCAGAATGAGTAAGCCAGGATGAGCAAATCCTCCATGTGCCTCTGCATCCAGGTTCCTGCCCTGTCTGAGTTCCTGTCCTGATTTTCTTCCTTAATGTACTATATGATGTGGGACTGTGATGAAATAAACCGTTTCCTCCCAAGTTACTTTGGTCATGGTGTTTCATCATAGCAATAGAAACCCTGCCATGAAAGTAGCTACATGGACATTTTTGTTTGAGATAGGGTCCTAACTACCTTGTTACTCTCTTTTTAGACCAGTTTGTCCCTGAACTCAATGAACCTGCTTGCCTCTGCCTCCCAAGTACTGGGATCAAAAGTGTGTGCCTCTATGCCCAGTTCACATGAACTTTCTATAGTAAAGTGAGTCAGAAATCAGTGCGAGGGCAGGAGAGTGTGTAAAGGTTGTGGGCAGGTGAGCAAGTCTGCTGTCAGCTTCAGTTGTCCTACAGGGTTCATCATCTTAAGCCGGTGGGTGCTAGAATGTTCCTTAGAAACAAAGCTTCAACACAGGGGCTGCTCATCCTAGGCACTGATGACAGTCCCAAAGCAATGCTGGCACCTGACCCGCATTCATCCCATCTGTCTCGGAGGTTGACTGCATTTAGGACAAGCTTTTTCACTTGTCCTCAGGATTCAGCTATGTTGCAGCAAGTAGTCAAAAGCATCTTAGTGAAAAAGCAAGAGATATCTGTGCATGCACAACATATATTTTGCTTTTTAAAATATTTATTATTTTTATGTACAAGTGTGTTTGTCACATGCATGCAGGTGTCTGGGAGGCCAGGAGAAGGCTTCCCTTGGAGCTGGAGTCACAGGTGGCAAAGAGCAGGGGTCACTCTTAACTCTCAAGCTATCTCTACAGCCCTTAAAACGTTTTCTTTGAGAATTTATAAGAATGTATTTTGATCATATTCATCCCAGATTCACCCCTTTCCTCTTCCTCAAATTAATGTACTCTTGAGAAAATGTAAAAAGATTTATTTGTTTGGATGTTTTGCTTGCTTATATGTACATGTGTGTGCCCGGTGCCCTCAGAGGCCAGAAGAGGGTGTTGGATCCCTTGGGACTTGAATAACAGATGGTTGTTAGCCACCATTTGGGTGCTGAGAACCGAATGTGGGTTTTCTGCAAGAGTAGTTGATGCTCTTAACTGCTAAATCAGCTTGCCAGCCCTCAAGTCTTCTTTTAAACCAGAGACACAGGAGATATATCTATAGAGACTAGAAACACAGGAGCTATGCCCAGATAAACCAGAGATATAGCAGATATGTCCAGATAAGCTAGAGTTACCTAGATAAACTAGGAGATATATCTAGATAAACTAAATATACAGGAGATATAGCTAGATAAACCAGAGATATCGAGGATATGTCCAGATAAGCTAGAGTTACCTAGATAAACTAAATATACAGGAGATATATGTAGATAAATTAGAGATACAGGAGATATATCTAGATAAACTAGAAAAACAGACCTTGTGGGTCTGATGCCAGCTTAGGACACACAGGGAAGACTCTCTCACCAGGAAAATACCTCTGTTGAGCAGAAAGAATGGGTGAGGATGCTTCTCAACAACCATAAAATTGGAAACTTTTGACAATGTATATGGCTTTCTTTTTCAATTAAGAATGAAGATTTGAAGTACAGTTTTGACTTTGGTTCACTTTGTTGTGTTTGTGTTTAGCGTTTAGCTTTTTAGTATCTTCTAATCTTTATGACGGGATAATCAAATGTTACTACAGGAAAACTTCCCATAGACTCTAGGAAGTAGTCAGGAGGGAGCTCTGGGGAACACAGGATACCTCACCCCTCATCTGGCCCACCCTTTGCTACAGTGAGACTGTGCTCAGTCCTGTAGTATCCCAGGCTTTAGATCGAGTCTTACTGTGCTCAGACAGATTGCTGGGCCTCCACGGCTCTGCTCACCCTTACCCTTCCACCTGGAACCTTTCAGGCCTGACTTCTTCCATCCCAGGGCACTGGGGACCACAGTCATCCCTGACTTACCCCCACAGCTCAGTTCTACTCTCTTCTGGTTCCCCTGGCAGGGTTTGGGGCTCCAGGCTGCTGGAGTCCTGGTTGTCTTGGGAGGGGCCTGCAAGGCTCTTTGCTGTGGGTGTGGGGTGACAAGGTCAGTAAAGCAGTTGGGCCTCAACACCTGAAGTCACCTGAAGAAAGATATGAACCAGCCTCAGGGAACTTGGCCCTTCACCTAAGGTTTCTTGTAACAGGGCCAGGTTAGCATTACCCTTTTCAGGTGGGAGGGGGTGGGGCTTCCCAAGGAATGTGATATTGACATTTCCATCCACCATGGGAGGAGTCAGTGGCATGTTGTTTACAGGGAGATATCAAGGGGGCTGAGGGAAGGGAAGGCATGAAGCCGCTGCCTCCTGCCAGTTTTCAGGGGAGAGATGCTCATGGCCACCCACAGTCTTAATTCTCAGCAAAGCCAGCATCCTCATCTCACTTGTAGACCTGGAGCTCGGAGAGGTGGCTAAGCTGGTGCCCTGAGCATCTGGAACCCAGCACCTCCCTTGCTGTGTGTTCACAGCTCTCAGGGCCAGGGCGTCATTGCTGTGGCTCTCACATTGCTTTTATGTCTCACCAGAAAGCACCCTGGAGTTCGTGAACAACAGCTCCTCTTCCTTCATTGAAGATAAAAAGAAATCTTCAAAGAAAAGCAAAGGTAGTTTCCCCCGCAGGGTAGGTGAAGCAAAGCCTGGTCCCTTTTCTAGGGTGCGACAGGTTGGTTTCCAAGGTGCAGAGCAGAGGGAGGTGTTAATCTTCCTGTTAGGCAAAACTCAACAGAAACATGAGGGTTGGTAGTGGGGTAATCAATGGGAAACGAGTCAGATCTGAGCTTCAAAACCCTGAGAAGGCATCCGGGTGACCAGGTCCTAAGTCTTTCTGTCTCACCAGAATTTTCAAACACAAGATTGTGTCATGGTCATGGAAGGGCTGATATGCACAACCATGTCTGACTCAAGGCTGGAAGAAAGGAACCCAAAAAGAGAAAACTCCCAGCCCTTGTTTTCTATTGCTCTGACAAAATGCGCCCCTTCCCACAAAGCAACTAGGGAGAAAGGGCTTATTTTAGCTCCCAGCTCCAGGTCACAGTCCCTCATAGTAGGGGAGCCAAGGCACCGGGAACTGAAAACTGCCAGCCAAGAGCAGCGAGGAATCAATGCAGGCGTGCAAGCCCGGAGCACAGTGCATCTTCTCCACTCTTGTTCAGTCCAGGTCCCAAACCCAAGGAATGGTGCTGCCCATGGCGGGCTGAGTCATCCCACATCAATTAATTCACTATAAACACTACCCTCTCATTACCTCAGCCTCAGGTGGAAAGGGCCATCCCAGTAGTCCCATTGAACAGTTCTGGCTCACATTCCATTGTGTGGCCATAAGTGTGGCTGCAGAGGTCTTTGAAAGCAGGCACACCCTTCCTCTCTCCCAGGCTCTCTAACAGTCTGTACCACACCAGAACTCCTCTTGCCTTCCACAGTTGTCCTGGGCTTCACACTGATGGGGACCCGGGGGACCCTGTGTGCCATTCACCCCTCTGACTTCCTGGACCCCTGGAACTCACACTAGGATCTGAATCAGTGTAGAGGAGAAAGGCATGACCTGGGCTTCACAGAGTGGACCAGCATGAGCCCCGACTTGGGGCCTGCATTTGGTTCCCTGGATGGATTTCTGCCCATCTCTCAGGGGCCTCCAGGAGTTGGCCTGGCTTGCACCCCACTTGCCCTACCTATAGGAAACCTGTTCAGTTCCATCACTTTTGGCCAGAGGCTCTGGCTTCCTTTCTCTGAGAATGGAGACTTGCTGGGATTTTCACACCAGGGTGAGACAGATGCTGGGCAGGAGACCAGCTCCCCTAAGATTAAGCCATAGAGGCAAGCTTACAGGGTTTAAGGACCCAGGAGAAGATTCTGGTGTGGCTGGATTAAAGAACACTCAGTGGTGCTGTATCCCATGATGAGTAGAAAGTCACGAGGACCCCGAGACATGGGCCATTTTTTCCTTCTCCAGGGAATGTGACTATAGCTGACCCCTCAAGTAACCCTTTCCACATGTCAGGGGATGTGGATTTCTTCTTGTTCAGAGAGCAGGAGCGGAATAAAGCCATTGCAGTAAGTATCTGGGCCTGGGTCAGCCTCTTCTGAGAAGCTTCCCTGCGTTCTGTTCCTCCTGCCTCAGGTAAATGCTTCCCTCCTCAACCCACTAAGTCCAGAGCACTCGCTTTCCCTAGGAAGTCAAGTGCAGACCTTGCTTAGCTCTCCCACCATCGTCTCTGACTGGGCCTCAGTCAGGTGGCTTCCCCAGCTGCTCTCTACCTCTTCCACTTTCCCTGTGTGGAATGCCATTCGCGCCCAGCATTCTTCATGTCCTTCAAGGCTTGTCTCACACCTCACAGGTCCCCTCCTCTGGGTTTCTCCCCCTGCTTGGAATCCCACGGGGAGTGCCCCAACCCCTGTCTTACCTGCATCCCAGCTTGTTGCATCTTGTTTTAGTCATGTGACCTGGAGCCAGGGCAGCCCTGGATCCAACAGGTCCAAAACAGAACAGCGACAATGCAGTCCACCTACTGCGCCCCTCCTTCACCTACTGCACCCCTCCTTCACCTGCTGCACCCCTCCTTCACCTGCTGCACCCCTCCTTCACCTGCTGCACCCCTCCCCCTCCTGCTGCACCCCTCTTACACCTACTGCACCCCTTCTCCACCTGCCACACCCCTCCTCACCTCCTGCCTCCCTCCCCCACCTGTTGCACCCCTCCTTACCTGCTGCACCCCTCCTCCACCTACTACCCTCTTCACCTAGTACCACACCCTTGTACCCAGCTGAGATTCTTCGGAATTATCAGATAATGGATTGTGGCAGCTGATGGGTCCCATCAGAAAAGACTGATGCTGAGAATCTTTCTGAATGGGGAGACTTCCTTGCAAAGCCTACAATGCTAGACAGCACTTGGGCTTGAGAGCTGCTATAGACAGGGAGTGTCCCTCCTGTCATCCTGGGATAGATCATGAGAGTGCCCTGTGGGTAGCACAGAGGAGCAGGGCAGTGGAGCCAGCCACCAGTAAGCTTCCAGCCAGCTGACGGACATCCCGCAGAGGAAACAGCCTTTTGGAAACAGGTTTAGGTTCCCTAAGTTTCCTAAACCTTTTGCCAGTTTTAGCAATTCTTGGCCTCAGTTAAAAGGGGACTTTGGGTGAAGGGACAGGTGATCATCTCTTAGCCATGCTAGTACTATTTGTTATTTGGCTGCACATTGAACTGGCACCTGTGTTTGGTATAGCTGCCTCTCCCCAGTCCCATCCTCAGGTGGTCACTGTCCTGTTCAACCCTACAGGGTGTGTGCAAGAGCCCACAGCCTCTCTAAGAGCACCAACAACAGAGTGCTCAGCACAGGTGTATGTGTGAGTGTGTGCGTGTCTCCCTATGTGTGGGCCCCTTCAGCCTCTGGCATTAGATAAGAGGCACTGGAGACATGCATCTGACAAAACCCTGGATCCATTGACTACCTGTCACCCCCACAGGAACGTGAACGAAAGAAGATGCTGAGGGTGCACCAGAAGATGACGTACGCATCCAAGGTGTCCGCCAAGCACACTAGCCTGCGCCGGGAGCTTCAGCTAGAAGAGGAGCTAGAGGACCAGGAGCTGATGGCTGAGGCCCGGCAGCTGCACACCTTTCGCAACAACACTGCCTGGAAGCTGGCCATGACCCAAGGTATAGCACCCCTACCTTGTGCAGGAATAAGGGATGATTAAGAAAGGCCCTGTCTCTGTGTGTCTGACACCACATACCTTGAAGAGCTCTGTCTTGATGGGCCACAGTTCTAGAACATGCTGATCATGGAAGACTGCATGATCTGCACCAGTAGCGCAAGCTCTGCTTGCAGAGGCTTAGGCCCACCCAACAACCAACCAATCACAGGCAATGGGCAGTTCAACTACAGTGAGGAGGTCATAACTGAAATTTGCCTTCCAGGTCTTGGTCATCTTGGTCACACTGCAGCATTTGATAGGTCATGGTCACCACTGGACTCCTCTTTCTATGCCAACTTCATGAGTTGTGGGGGTGCTATCGTAAGAGAGGCCCAAGGCAGATAGTCACCAACCATATGGAGCCTAGCAATCACCTCTCAGCATCCCAGGGGACAACTTCCTGGAGCTCCCTTGGTATCAGAATCCACAGTGATGTTCAAGTTATATTTATGCCCACCTGTATTCTCTAAGTCATCCATAGATCTATACATTGTGGGCTCAATATGCATTCTATGTGGACAGTTGTTTGTAGTGACAAAGGAATTCTGTTTAACTGTAGGGCAAATGTGATTCTCTTCCATATACTGATCCATTGGTTGAATCCAAGGAACACCACACAGATGTGGGAGGTTGGTTATACACTGAAGGAGCCTTTTCTCCACTTTTCAGACCCATCATCACTGTAACATCCTGGGTAGGCAGCAGGACCCCAGCTTTCTCTGCAGACTGTCTTGAGTACCTAATTCCAGCCTGGGCTCCAGCCTCTCTCCCCTACTCACCTTCTGGGTCTTGTTGCAGATAGGAATATGGAGCCTGGAACATTGAATGACTATATGGAACAGAAGCGAAACATGTTCCTCCTCCAGGTGGGAATGGCTATATCCAGCTGAGGGTCTGGAGCTTGGCTCTGGCCCAGCCAGGTACCTTCATGCTCTGATGGTTCACAGTATGCCGTGGCAATGAAGCGAAATGAAATCCAGCGGCTAGAAATGCTGGCCACCCGGGAGGAGAGGAGGCTGGAGAGAGCTGAGAAGTTCCTGGAGAAGGATGCAAACTTGTTTGACGAGTTCCTCAGGGAGAATGACCGCAGCTCAGTGCAGGCCATGAGACTGTGAGCCTCCAGGCCCTTGTGATCGTGTCAGTAAAAACCCACACCCGAACCAGGTCTACTCCAATCTTACCTGGACCTGGAACCTTGAGCCCTAGTCAGGCCCTGATTTCAACCTATGGTCATTACCCCTAGCTACACCCCTAGCTCCCCACCTGACTTGTGCCTGAGGCCAAGGCAATGGCTCCATCCATTTCTGATTGATCTTTAATGATCCATTAAATTGGCCCTCCTGGTTCCCCAGGGCTGAGAAAGAGACCAAGATCAAGGTGGAGAAGATCATTGAGATCCGGGAACTCACGGCCCAGATCATGGCCATCAAAAGGTAGGGTACAGAGGGCCCCTTTCTCTGTCACTTCACTGGAGTTAAGGGCCACCTAGGACCACAAAGGCCTCTCAAGGACTCAAACCCTGTGGGAAGCTATAGCCTGTTTTATGGGTGTTGATGAAGCTGAGACTCAGCGGCTCTCCTGAGGCCACACCATCAGGACACAGGACCATTGTGGTCCAGGCTGAGAGCAGCAGCCTTTATCCCCGTGGATGAAGGCCCTGTAGGTCACAGAGAGTCACAACTTAGGAAATCCTGACTGTTCTGGCTCCTGCAGGGCAGGATTCCTTTCCAGCTACTTCCAGCTAGGACTTGGTGGCAGACACTGCCTAACTTTCTACATTTCTCTCTGAGCCTAGTGAAATCTCCAAATTTGAAGATACTTTGCAGCATTACAAGATCTACAAGGATTTTCTGTACAAGCTGTCACCCAAGGAGTGGTTAGAAGAGCAGGAGATGAAGCGCCAAGCTCTTAGAAAGGCCAAGGAGCCTGGGGAGTTCACTAAGGACAGCAGCATGACCACCTTATCAGGGGAAAAAGGTAGGGCAAAGAGAAGGGTGGGTCCTGGTAGTGGTTTAGAGAACCTGTATCCAGCTTGAAGGAACCCTGTATGTATGGGGCCCCATCTGGTCCTTTCTTTCATGGCTAGGAGTACCTACTTTGAACACCCAGGAGCTCACAGTTCGAGCCTTCCCACAGGAACATGGGCTTTCCAGTCAAACCAAGGGCTCTCTTCCCAAGCATTTCTCTGCCTCTTCTCCTGGGCTGGGAGCCTGAATTATCATGGAAAGTCTGGGTCCAGCAATGGTCTGATGGGGTTTTCATTTGCTTCCTGTAGGGTCTAGCAAGAGCAAGATAGCCTTGCTGTGGAAAGGTATGACTGCCCCAGTCCAGAAGGGACCCACACCTTACGCCATGGGCACATACAAACCTCCCCCCACCTTTTCCCCAGAGGTTCAGAGCTTGAAGAAATCCCCAAAGCTTACAAGGTCTGGGCATGCCCCATCCAGCACTCAGAGCCTCCCGCAGGTTGGCCAGCTCAGCCAACGCAGCCAACCCAGCCTGTACAGTGAGCTGGACTCCAGACTGTGAGTGGTCTCTAGGAGCTGGGGGGAAGCAAAGGCCATTAAAGGAGACAGCCAGGATGGCAGGGTCACAGGGGAGGGGCAAGAAATTTCATATGACTCTTGGGGAGGGTGAGGAGAGGGAAACCAGCTGAAGGTCACCCCACAAGGCTGCCCCAGGTGTCTGGTTCTTGCCCTGGGGTGACTGAGGTAGTCAGTAGCCCTAATGTGACAGCACAGTAAAGGAGAGTGGAGGGGCGTTCCTCAATGAAAGACATGTGCCAGGGGCAGGGCAGCTTTTTCTGTCTGTTAGCTATCCCAGAAGGCTCAGCAAGGCCCCATATTTCAGAGTCCCAGAATATTGGATGCACAGTAAAAGCCTTGCAGTTTGCAATGTAGTCTTGAGCCTGAGCCTAGGATCTGAGCTGAGGTGGTTCCAGGCAACATTATTGGTGGTGTATGGTGTAACAGCATGCACAGTGAAAAGTGCATGTGTGTACTCAGAACCAAGTCTGCAGTGAATGTACAATGCAACATGGGTGAGTGCTGTCCAAAATACCCCAGATTAATTATACTTCCTTTGTTTGACTTTTAATTTCTGGTCATTGCATATTAGGAGACCTTTCATTGTTGCCCAGTTTTTTCCCCTCACATTTAACTACATACCCCACATGGGATCGGGACCCACAGTTTAAGAAGCTGGGAACCGGGCGGGGTGGTGGTGGTGTCTGCCTTTAATCCCAGTACTCAGGAGGCAAAGTCAAGTGGGTTCTGAGTTTGAGGCCAGCCTGGTCTACAGTATGCATTCCAGGACATTCAGGGTTACACAGGAAACTCTGTCTCAAAAAAGAAAACAAAACAAAAAGCAGGGAGCTAGGTGAACACAACTGGATGGATTGTGAACTGCACAAGGTCACAATTGAGAGGACCATATCCCTTTGGAGGTGGATTCAAAGCAGCGGGGCACAGCAGTCTCCTGAAGTTCCTTGAGCCAGTGACTGAGCTGATCTATGCACCTGTATATCTCCATCTCCACCTCACATCCCTGGGCATCTGGCAGAGCTGACCTCACCTGTCCCCCAGATAACACACCTGTGGCTCCTGGGCACAGTCCAGTAGGGGTGGGTGGGGATCACTGGGAAGGGCTGGAAAGTACGTGGAGGTGGCGTCCATGCAGTGTGGTGGCAAAGCAGCCTCTGCATCCCTGTGAGTTGTCTCAGGACAGTCCCTGTCCTGTGTGGTGCTGCTTGCAGTCAGCTGGGAAGAGGTTGGTATGCCCAATGGCTATGAGTGAGGCAGGTAACCAGACGCAATCCAGGTGACCTCAGAGGGGCACTCAAAACAAATGGTAAGTAGGAAGGTACGTACGATGTGAGAGTGCAGAGGTATAGATCAGGGTAGAGTAACCCAGTGGACCAAGGGAAGGTAGTCTTCTAACTGGGGACTCATGACTGAATTTTGAGTGTTTCTCGACTGTGGGACCTTGATGGGGGCTGGTGCAATATGGGGGAAGGGAGAGGTAGGGAACACGTTCCATCCATGTCTTTAGTCCTCTGACTCCCCCCTCCCTTGGCACTTGTGGCCTAGACTGGTCCAGGAGCTCTGATGCCACTGTCTGTCCTCAGGTCAAGCCCTACTGTGCCATCACGAGACGACACTGACAGCGATGGGGAGGTCTGTGGCAGGGCTCTCTCCCCTCTTGCACCCCCATCAAGTACTCTACACTGCTCCACCAGGCCCCGTTCTATACAGCACCCTCTCTGCCTACCCCTCACAGGAGATGGCACTGTACTTCACTGAGCCCCAACAGCTCTTGGATGTCTTCACACAGTTAGAGGAACAGAATCTGTCCCTGATTCAGAACACGCAGGAGATGGAGGAGGCCCTGGATGATCTGAACGTCACTCTGAAAAACACCCAGATCCGCATGTAGGTCGCCATGCTGCCCCCTTGCCACTCCTGCCCCCATTGCACTATCAGCTGCCCCCTTCCTTGTATAGTGTCTGGGTAGATACCAGGACCTTGGAGCCACCTTCAGTCAGAAGGCAGCATTGTGGACCTCCCATTCAGCCCTTCTGCCATTAACCCAGCCCCTGGGAAGTCAGTCTTGCCATGTGGAAGGCCACGATACCCTAGGGGCCTCAGGCAGGCATGGTTTGGAAGGGACCAGAAGTTGGCCTTCAAGACACTTCAGCTATGGGGATGTATCAGGGCTCCTCACACCACACCCCTGGCCCTAAGATGTGAGGAAAGAAAGATGTGCCTTGCCAGGGACCTGCAGCATTTGGGTGGGCACCAAGCAGCATAGGTACAGTTGTTGGGAAGGCACAGGGCCACCTGGCTGGCTGGAGTCAGTTTGGGATGGATGGGGTCTGGGAAGACAGGTCTGTCAAAGTCTGTCTAGCATAGCAAGGGACCAGGGCAATGGAAAGACCCTAGAGAAACCCAAGGTCCTAGATGTAGTCAACAAGGCAGCAGGGGAGGCAGGAGCTGGTCTCACTCCCACCCAGAGCTCACAGGATGCTCAGATTCATAATCCCTGCTACAGGGTGTGGCCACCAGCCACCCCATCCCAGTTTCCTCCTCTGCTCATTCCAGAGCCCAAGGGGGCTGGGTAGGGAAGGCTGGGCTGGGGTACTGGGTGAGGGTGTTGTTCAGGCTCATCCACCAAGGCTCTAAACTCTGAGCAAATCTTCTGGGTAGGTCCAAGACCTACAAAGGTCAGGCTGGGCCTCTTCACAGGAACTTATGCTGGATGGCAGCGACGGCAGAAAGACCCATACATTGGCTAGTAGAAAATGTATGTGCTAGGTAGAAGACATGGGGAGTGATGTGAGGGGCAGGTGACATCAGCTGAGATGGAAGGCGGGAAAGCAGTGTGTGTCCCAGGTGTCTGCTGGGTACAGGGAGCAGCCCGCCACCCAGAGGCCCATCAAAGGCAGCTCAGGCAACAGAAGCAGCCAGGGCATAGGCCTTGACCCAGTTGAGACTTCAGTGTCCAGACAGGGAGCCATGTTCCTCAAAACTCACCTTACTGGTCCAGTATGGCTGCCTCCAGAATGAAGTGGAACTACCAGCTGTTAGGCAAAAATGCTTTCTGGAACCCTGGCAAGGGCTGGAGGCACAAGGAGATACTCTGGAGAGAGGCCAGGAACCTCTCAGCATCCCAGAGGACCTGCTCTCCCTCAACACAGCCATCCACACTACCAACAGGACACAGGTGACAGACAGCAGTTATCCCCAGGAACACCCACATGTGGTTTCCGAGTCATAGCCCATGAACTCAATCACCCTTTCTTACGGGGGAAAAAAAATCAGAAAACAATTTCGGAGAAAGAGAAAAACAAAGAAATTGATGATAGTTTAGCAAAAGAGCCTTAGATCCAGCTGGGTTAATAGATAATTCTACAAAACATTCATTCAAGGGTTTAAGGGAATGGAGGACCTGTGCTTGATTCTCTCTCTCTCATATATATATAAAATCACACACACACCAGGTACCATTGTGGTATGCATTTATAACTATGGTTTGGGATGGAAGGGGCAGAGGTTCCCTGGGACTTGCTGCCCAGCAAGCCTAGCTCATTGGCAAGCCCCAGGCAGTGAGAGACCTGTCTCAAAACACACACACACACACACACACACACACACACACACACACACACACACACACAGAGAGAGAGAGAGAGAGAGAGAGAGAGAGAGAGAGAGAGAGAGGAGAGACACAGAGACACAGAGAGCATACATTCACACATATAAGGGAGAAATGACGACACTCCTCAGCCATCTCCAAAAGACAGAAGAGGAGGGAGCACTCCTAGCCTCCTATTGAGACCAGCATGGCCTTAATGCCAAGCCAGACACAGACAGCTCAGGAGAGAGGGGTCCAGAAAAGGGTGTTTTGCCACTGTGGCTACAAAGACCTCAAGAAGATGAAAACAAGTTGAATCCCAACAAGTGTGTAAAACAACACCATGGTTCACAAATTAGGAACAGAAAGGAAGGAATTTCAATTCGGTAAACATCACAAAATTCTACAAGCTAATGCTGTTAAGGGCTTTTCCACTGACATCAGGTGCAAAGGGTGGGTAACTCCTCTTTCTGCACTCCTGGTGGGCAGAGCCTCCACTCTTCTACGCCTGTGGTCTAAGGACAGAGCTCTGCCTACTAGGTCATGCCTAGTGGGAGCCAGGTGCTGAGGGAACTGTCCAACCCTGTAGGGACAGGGAGGTCAACCTGCTGAAGCAGTGGATCACCACCATGATGATATCAATCTCCAAGGAGGAGGAGTCAGCAGCAGAGCTGCAGCTCAAAGTCCGTGTTTTCCACTTCGGGGAGTATAAGGGTGACCAGCAGGTAGGGACAGGAGTGTCTCAGAGCAGGGCCCAGGCCCAGCATCTTAGGCCCTGCTCACCCCCTATGCTCTGTGTGCTTGGTGTGGCATGTGCTCCAGGGGTCTGCTCACCTACCTCCTCAGCTGCCTGCAATGCTTCCAAACTCTTGATAGCAGGGAAAAGGGCGGGCCAGGAACTCAGCATGCTAGCACAGAAATATCATTTACTCACTCAGCTCTTTCCAGACTGCCCAGTGCCTTGTGTGGCAGACACCAGGTCAGGGGCCTGACTCCTCCCTGGTCAAGAGCTACTGGGCACTGGCTATGGCCAGGCCTGACTAAGCCTTTTTGTCTGCTGCTCTCAATAATACCCACTCAATATCCACATAGCAGTTGCTACCTGCTTCCTCAATGTCAGACAGACTCATGAGGGGTGAGCTCATCTACCTTGGGCCTCACAGAATGTGGTCCTGTGGGGAGCTGGGGTCAGTGCATGGCTCCCTGGAACAGGGACTGGGCCTCAATGGGCTTGCTGAAGAAACTGGAGGAAGGGCTGGGATATGAGATGAGTCAGAGCGTGACCACAGGAGCACTAGAGCTATTCTGGCTAAGAAAAGCAGGTACCATTGCTTAACCCCAATCTCTGAGCCCACACTGTGGCTGTTCCATCATGGCTGGCAAGCAATGACTGCTGGTGTAGGCAGGCTATCATGTGAGGGTGAGCGGGGCCTGCAGCCATGCCACACCGCTGGCCGACTGTCCGCAGGACAAGTTGCTGGAGAGCCTGAACCACAAGGTGCTGGATGTGTATCGGAAGTGTGTGGGCATGCAGCAGGAGGCCAACCTGGGCACAGTGCAGATGCTGACTGTGGTGGAGCACCAGCTGGATGAGCTGCTAGAGAATCTGGAGAGAGTGCCCCAGGTTAAGATTGAGCAGGCTGAGAAGGTCAAGGAGAGGGAGCGGCGCATGAGGTGAGCCACTGTACCCAAACTTCTATGACTGCAGCTCTGGCTTGGGTGCAGGACGCTCATCAGCATCCACCCTTGTGTGTTTCTTGACCAGAGAGACAGGCTCAGGTCTCTGTAATGTGAGGCCAGGCCTCTGTGAGTTCCAGAGGGCAGGGGTCATGGGACACAACTATCTGCAAAGTCTGTCTCTCTCTCCCAAGCATGGGGCTATCTTCTCTGGGGTCCCAGCACCTTAAGACTAATATCCTAGCTATGTGCCAAGGTGTAGGATTGTGGGCACAGGAACTGAAGACAAAGATGTGGATCTAGGGAAAGGTGCTTTTCGGGGGTTGTGGTCTAAACCTTAGGTCACTCTCAAGGCCAGTATGACATTTACACCCCCTATCTGCCTTCGCCTGCAAACTTTGGCTGATCTGTCCACGAATGACAGGAAGGACAGAGGGGGCATTTTCTACATATGGGAAGGCATGGACTGACCTGGAGTCTGAATGGCAAAAGGGGTTCCTCCTAGGCCTCGGTCCCTATAAGCCACCTCTTGTCTCCAGGCTTCGTGAAGAGAAGGCCAGGATGCAGAAGGAGCTGCAGGAGGAGCGGTTGCAGCGGGCTCGAGCCAGGGCCCAAGCTGAAATAAAAAAGAAGGTGAGAGGTGGCTCCAGGGTCACTCTAGGGTGTACCTCCTAGGCTCTCCAGCCTGAGCTGCCAGGCTTCCCTGAAGGCAAATCACTTCCCTGAAAAAATAGACAGTTGCTTGCAGTGCCAAGCTGGAGTGGAATAATCTCCAAAGTCAGGCACTTCTAGTACCCTGTCCTAGGGCTGTCCTCACCAGGACCAATCTCCCAGATGTGCTATTCACACAGCCTCTGCCAGGTGCAGATGCTCAGTCACAGAACTCCCATGAACAATCAGTCTCCGGGTCCTGTTGCTCTGTCCACTCCACAAACAGACCCTAGGTCAAGCAACTGCTTGTTGTTAGGGTCTGAAGCCAGACTTTGGGGTCTGAAGCCCTTGCCCCACAGAAAAAGAACTGTGGCATCTTTGTGCCTTTTCGACGTGACAGCAGAAAGTCTGGCCCTGAAAGCAGGCCTGGAGCCAAGCATGGTCCCTGAGAGACAGGGGAGCTAGTGGGCATCTATGAAACATGGATGCCCATTTTATTGCTTGGAAAGATGAACACCATTAATAATAAGATAGTACAAAATATCCCAGTGTTTAGTTCAGAAAGGAAGTGGAACACATAATTCCCTTCAGAAGATGCAGCTCATTAGGAGAAAAGGCATCCAGGCTATAATCAGGACTCAGATGGCAGGGAGAGCATTAGACAGAAACAGGACAATATATGGAGGTCTAAACCTAACAGGGCCTTAGCAGGAAGGGGAGGCTTTTCCTTCCTGGAGAGGAGTTTTATAAGAAAAAGGTTTGGGGGCAGAGGGGAAGAGAGAGAACACATGTTGCCAGGAGAGGGATGACAGGGCAGAGGAGACCCTTCAGAGAGCAGCCTTCAGAGAACTTCCCCAAGCAAATCCAAAAACAAAGGAGAGAGCTAAGTTTTGGGAGGTTGGCAGACAGCTTCATATTACATGATTTAGTTCAACATGTATGTGACAAAGAGCATGGAGGAGCTACGTATTGGTTAGGACCATCGGTCAAGGCCTATTGTTGTACATAGAACATACAGCTTAACTCAGAAAGAGCTGAAGGTTATGGGACTGGGCCTTTTAAAAGGGATCACTGTCTTCTACAGGCCAACCTCTAATGTGTTCTGTCACATTGCAGGGTCTCCTGTGGAAGCCCTGAGCTAGGAAATACTTTAACTCGTGCCCTTCAGAAAGTGTGCTCCATGGAGCTGACATGGTGACTGCTAGGCTGACCCACACTCCAGGTCCCTTTAGCCACTGCCACCCTTGAGTGGCTGGTCTGCATGACCAGGCTTTGCTGGCCCCTTCCTGAACCCTATGGCAGGGTACGTAGACAGCACGACATCTACATAGGCAGCACAGGCTCACCATGTTTATTGCCCCTGCAGAGAGGCAGGAGATTGGTAAGCCGCTCCCATCCACCAGTCATCAAAATAAAGGAGGAGTCTGAGCACATGATAATGGACAAGGACAAGGAGGAGTTGCTCTTCTTCTTCACTTAGCAGCAGAGCTGGCTGAGGGCTCAGGAAGAGGTCAGTAGTTAGTGAAGGCAGGGACTGCGAGCCTGAGGGACTAACTCCACCTCATGCTCTCCTGCCAGCCTCCTTACTCACAGGAAATAAAGCCATGTCTCTCAGGAGTCTGAGTGACCTGTTGAAGGAAGCCTCTTGGAACCCCTTCTTTGTTATTTCACCCAAAACGTGTTCGAGGGACAGAACACCATCCTGGTTCTCATCAGAGGTAGCTGCTTGGAGAAAAGCTCAAAACCTGTCCCCCAGGAAAGCAGGGTGTTGTTTGCTCTTGGAGACAAAAGAACTGGTGGCCAGCTGGGCAGAAGGGGCAAGAATCTCAACACCATGCACATACCTTTAATGAAATCAGAGCAAAATCTTTGGTACATGACACACAAACACTTTTATTCATTTGTACTAAGAGTTGGGTGTGTGGCAGCAGGAAGCTCCAGTGCTCAGAACATGACAGCCCATGCTGTCTCTTGGCAGACACACGGTAGAGGCTGTGGGAGAAGGAAGATTTTCTGTGAGGTGGGCTCTGGAGGCAGGTGACAGTGGTACCAGGTTGGCCATGGAGTGGGGAGGGCCCTGATGACAGGTGGGCAAGTCCAGTCCCTACACTTGGGCCTGTGATGCAGGAAAGACCTGTGAAAAGAAGCCTTCCCAAGTAGGATTCGCAATCCCACTTGAGTAGGGAGCAGCACCTAGGCAGATGGCACCACAGATCCATCCAGAGAAGACTCATGCCCAAACTCAGGGCCCTCCCCATATTCAAGAAACAAAGCAACTCAGATGGGGCAGAACCAAAACAGTATCTGAATAAGTACACACTTCAAAGGCCCAAGAAAAATGCATTTCTGTGTGACCCTGTATCCAGTCTTCACTAACAAATAAATATGTGCAAGGCAACCATCTCCCCTGGGAAGACAGAATCACTGTGAAAACACACAAGGTCAAGGTCACATAATATCCTTACCTTCAACCTCAACCATAAAACACACCTATCATTCCAGCCCTACACATTAACATACAGTATTCAGAACCTCACTGTAGAGACTGAAGACAAGTTACTATTTACCAAGAATTCCAAATACAGAGTTTAGAAAAATGACTTTAAAAGTCTGAACTCTTCATTCCTAAAGTATGAGTCTAGAAAAAGGGTCTACTAGCAGGCCACTGGTGGGCGCCAGGCCACCCCAATCGCCTTTCAGACTAGCTGCCTGTGCAACCTGCCTCAGCCTGAATTTGGCTTCACCATGGCATACAGCGTAGTGAGACCAACACACCCACCAAGACCATCCTAGCAGGTGAGAAGCAGTCTGTCACACAAGGTCTCACAAAAGAACCAAATTTCTAGATGTCTTGGACAAAATGTTAACACACTACAATAGAAGGCTCTGTCCAGACTTAGTGCAGAGACGTACCTGAGCAGGGAGCCATGCTCCACCCACTTACTGCAGGAATCTTTTAATGTAACAAGTGCTACCCAGCTCAGACCCATGGGGACCTGGGAAAGGCTGGAATGCAGACACATGGCATGGACACGGTGTCTATCTCACTGAGGGCAACCTGTGGAGGCAGTTTCAAAGAGTATAGCCCAAACGGGCTCTTGCCGGACCAGAATGAAAGCACTTTCCATGCATGTACCCCAAAGTCTCAAAGAATCAGGCTGAACTGCTGAGCAGAAGTCACATGAGATCTCCCAGTCCACACCACAATCATCTGAGGTCTTGAAACACAGCCTGGAACATGTTCTTGTTTGCTCAGGCTGCTGTCACTGAAGGTCCTGCAGGTTGATAGTGCTTCCTGGTGCCTGCACACTCTCCAGCCCAGCAGACCCTCCAGGTGATGGAAGCACCTCCTGTAAAACCAAGCAGAAAAGTGAAGAGGGTGGGGTAGGAAGAGAAGGGGAAGGCACAGCAAAGCCTTATCCCATACTTTGTCCCTTCAAAGAACATTCTTTTGACCCCAACACAAGGCAGAGACAAGCAGATCTCTGTGAGTTCCAGGACAGCTAGTCAGGGCTACATAGTGAGACCCTGCCTCAAAAACAAAATAAAACAAAACCAAAAATACCCAAAACAACAACAAAAAAATGTGAACTCAGAACCATTATGTTTTCCCAGATTTTTTTTCTAGACTTACTTATGGGTCCATATATATTCAAGCACCCATTCCTATAAAACAAAACAAAAACCAAAAAAATCGAGATAATGTCTGCTTATAGCCCGCAGGCAGCAGGCGGCCAATGCAGAGGGATGTCCAATGGGTGGTACCCATCACTCTCCTGCTAGAATCCAGCACTCCTACTTTGGTCTTGTAGGCTCCAAGCTGTAGTGGGCAGGTCTCAGGTCACCAGTAGTTTGTACTTCCCTCCTTTATTGCTTCTTGCTCTCTTCCCTACCACCCCATATCTTCTTCCTTTTTCTGTGTTTTTTAGAGACAAATTCTTACTATGTGGCTCAACTGGCTTCAAATGTGCAGTTCTCCAACCCTTGTCTCCTGGTTAATGGGTATCATCTATGTCTATCGTGTCTGGCTCAGATTTCCTTTCTTTAGGAATAGTGTTCTGAGGGGCTTAGAACAGTACAAATGACATTTCTGAGAAAAGTCGGCAGCCTGAGAAGTCACTTTTATTCAGACCTAGAGCTGCACTAGTGGCTGTCCACTCTCAGCTTAACCACCCACCTACATGGCACAGCTACTGAACTTATCTGGGTGCATCTCACTCATGGGGAATTTAGAACTGGAGTGTGCAGTGATCACGGGCACACTACGTTTCACCTGTTCTACAAACAGATACTGCAGTGTCAACCAAGCCTTATTTGAAGCCGTGACCTTATCTTTTCAAAAAAGTTCAAGGTGGCTGGACCTGACCAGCAACCCAATGCATCTCCGGGACAAGTCTATGGCAGCTGTTAACCCACGCTATAGCCTCCTGACAAGGGAAACCTGGGATGGATGTGTTCTACTGAGAAGAGCAAGAACTGTAGGCACCCAGACCTGAAGGACGTAGACAGGCAGATCCACGGTGAAGTAGGGGTGGAAGGCAGAGCGCTGCGGGCTGAGGGCCAGTGGCAAGCCTCCTTCACCTGAGGGGTCATCCTGGGGAGGCAACATCAAGAACTATCATACACTGGTAACCAGGAAGCACAAGCACTGGCCCCTCCATATCTCTCACTTTGAATCCAGTCCAAAGTTGAGTTAAGTCTGGAATCTTCTGCTGCCTGACTCCCTATGTTTATTATTTATTTCAACACTCAAAAACTGTCCCCTGTCCCAACAGTACCGCTTCTCCTATAGTGTACTAAATTCTGTGTGGACGCCCTGGTACTTTCTCAAGCCCATGGGAAGGCTTCTCTCTGTTCCCATCTTACCTATGGGGCAAACATAGACCTGAAAGCAGATGCCCCAAGATGAGGTTGCCAGGTCACCAGAAGCAAATCAGGAAAGAATGGTTTTGCCTTCTCATATGCATATTCAATTACAGCTGCCTACCACCCCCAAACTTAAGCACTCCTCCCACTTCCCCAAGGACTTTCTAAGTGCTGTTTCCATCTCTGACAACAAAACTGAAGCTGAGGGCCAATTAGCTGTCAAAAGACAGGTCAAAGAGTTATACCCAGGTGCACACTTTCCAGTGGGCTCGTTTTATGCCCGTGGTGGCACTTTTTATTATAACCTTTTCACCCTATACCCTGGGCCCTGGAAGTGCCTTCTGCAAGCTGACCTGCACACTGCGGCTACACTACTGTGGGACAAGCCTCCCACTCTTTTTGCTGTCCCTATCTCTAGGAGTATTTGATCTCTCTCACAGTTCCAAGCTGTTCTACCACTGGGTCAAACTAGGAGGGAGGAACATGATTTTCAGCTCATTTCTCTACACAAGCCCAAGTCTCTGCCCACTAAACCCTCACATGCTTCTTTTTTGGTCTAGAACCCTTTCATTACCTCTTTCCCCAGGCCACTCTTTGCCACCCATTCCCCATTTATCTGAGCCCTGCAGGCCCTTTACAGCCTTCTACCCCTGGTCCCACCTCTTTCCTTCACTGTTCTCTCCCAGATAGACCTTGCCGTCTCTAAGGTCTCCAAAGTAACAGGAACAGCTCTACCCTCAGTCTCTGACAACTAGATTTGCACTGGCCTACTGGAGTTTCATCTACAGCCCTAAGTGGTGTGCACCATGCAGGTGTGTGCGACTGAGTCAGAATATAGCCAGATCTCTCAGCTTCCAAACCTCTTCTTTCCCCATTCCACCTCCTCAGAGGTCATCTTGGTAGTGCAGGTATGTATGGGGCTGCTGAGTGATTTGGCAGTGAGCTCCCATAGATGGCTGTCAAATAAAGGTCTGTTGAGTGCCCAAAGAGGTGACTGAGCCTTATCTTCAGTGACCAATGAGAAAGCAGAAAAATCAAAAAGGCCCCACCACTTTCACATGAAAGCCTGCACCAGCTGCTGTGCAGGCAGTGGTGCCCAGAAGCATGGCCAGAACAGTCTAAAGAGAGTTTATAGGAGAGTCTGGGTAGAGGTGGGGCAACATGAATACCAACAGTTGTGAGGCTTACATATGACCAGCTTGGGTAGTCTCAGATGCCTCCAGCCTGCATAAAATGGTCCCAAGCAGGCCTTGGCAAGACAGAGGCACAAGCCATTACACCTCCAAGAGATGTGGGGAAGATGGACCAAGTTGAGGGAACTAGACACAGGGTAACACAGTGCCACAAACCTGATACGTCAGTCCTAACAAAGGCAAGGGCTTGCACAGATGCAGTGAGACAGGCTGGGAAGAAGAGAGAGGCTGGGGTTATTAGATGGCTGGGACAGGACACAGGACTTGGAGTAGTTTACTGAAAGGGCAGTGGCTATCCCTCCACCATCCTGTCCCTGTAGATCTCAGCATTCACGTGGGTGGCTCCTACCTGCAGAACAGGGATCTGGACACACTGCAGACCAGCTGCAGGGGCTGGTGCTGGCAGATTTCCACTGGGTACCATGAGGTTTCCACAGAAACAACTGTGCTGGCCTGAGTGGACATGAGGATGGTTGACGATGCTGCCTTTCATTTTCCCATGAGCAGTCTCAGATGTTCCTAAAACCAAGCAGATAAAAACAGCACATCTAACAATGCTTCCCTGGCTGGGAATTTGTGAG